CCTGCCACTGGGGCCTTCGGTGGAGCTCCCTATGGGGCCACGAAACGTGTGAGGGGTGTGCCGAAATGGGTGGTGGGGAGGCATGCGAACCCTGCCACTGGGGCCTTCGGTGGAGCTCCCTATGGGGCCACGAAACGTGTGAGGGGTGTGCCGAAATGGGTGGTGGGGAGGCATGCGAACCTGCCACTGGGGCCTTCGGTGGAGCTCCCTATGGGGCCACGAAACGTGTGAGGGGTGTGCCGAAATGGTGGTGGGGAGGCATGCGGACCCTGCCACTGGGGCCTTCGGTGGAGCTCCCTATGGGGCCACGAAACGTGTGAGGGGTGTGCCGAAATGGGTGGTGGGGCAGGCACTGGGGCGGACCCTGCCACTGGGGCCTTCGGTGGAGCTCCCTATGGGGCCACGAAACGTGTGAGGGGTGTGCCGAAATGGGTGGTGGGAGGCATGCGACCCTGCCACTGGGGCCTTCGGTGGAGCTCCCTATGGGGCCACGAAACGTGTGAGGGGTGTGCCGAAATGGGTGGTGGGAGGCATGCCACTGGGGCCTTCGGTGGAGCTCCCTATGGGGCCACGAAACGTGTGAAGGGTGTGCCGAAAGTGGACCTCGGTGGGGCCTTCGGTGGAGCCCTCGGTGGGGCCTTCGGTGGAGCCCTCGGTGGGGCCTTCGGTGGAGCTCCCTATGGGGCCACGAAGCGCTGCCCTGGGTGGGGGAACCGCATGCGGGCTGTGCCACGGTGGAGGGGCCTTCGGTGGAGCTCCCTATGGGGCTACGAAACGCTGCCCTGGGTGGGGGAACCGCATGCGGGCACCCCCACTGGGGCCTTCGGTGGAGCTCCCTATGGGGCCACGAAACGCTGCCCTGGGTGGGGGAACCGCATGCGAACACCCCCACTGGGGCCTTCGGTGGAGCTCCCTATGGGGCTACGAAACGCTGCCCTGGGTGGGGGAACCGCACGCGGGCTGTGCCACTGGGACCTTCGGTGGAGCTCCCTATGGGGCTACGAAGCGCTGCCCTGGGTGGGGGAACCGCTATGGGGCGGCTGCCCTGGGTGGGGGAACCGCATGCGGGCTGTGCCACTGGGACCTTCGATGGAGCTCCCTATGGGGCTACGAAACGCTGCCCTGGGTGGGGGAACCGCATGCGGGCTGTGTCACTGGGACCTTCGGTGGAGCTCCCTATGGGGCTACGAAGCGCTGCCCTGGGTGGAGGAACCGCACGCGGGCTGTGCCACTGGGACCTTCGGTGGAACTCCCTATGGGGCTACGAAGCGTGTGAGGGGTGTGCCGTGAGCAGAGGCAAGGAGGGGGAGGAGGGAGGAGGGCGAGGAGGGGGAGGAGGAGGAGAGGAGGTGGGGCGCGGGGCGCTGTCTCTTCAAAACGAGGACCCAACACCACAGGATGGTTGGGAAAAAACGGGTTTGAGCCGAAGGGCCGGAAGAAGAAGAGCACCGAATCATATGCCCAACGGCCCTTGCCGATAAGAGCGTTCCGAAGAAGAACAAGCCGGAACGAACAGCACGGAGAGAATCAATGCTCAGTCGACGACCGTTGTCGGAAATAGCCCAAACTCCGGAGCTTCTCCTTCAGGTCCTTTCCCAGGCTCTCAAAGTCCTCGAAATACTCCCGACGCTCGGAAACGGGCTCCTCCACGCCGGCATCGACGGCAGGCAGAAGCTCCTCGGTCTCAACATCAACCTTCTCGAAAATGCTTCCTGCGCACGGCTCCACATGAGCGTCAGGCTCAACACGAGCCCTCTCCACCTCCTTTTTGCTCTTATTATCTTCTTGAGCTTTCTCGTACGCCTGGCCAGGCTCGTTCATCGTGCCCTCGGGTTCGGAGGCGGAGGCAACCGAACTGCCGATGAAGAACTCCTCGTTGCGCTGCTCGGAGGAGTCCTCGGGCACTTCACGACCTGCGCGTACGGGTCGCTCATGTTCGGGTCGGGGTAGGTCCACCTGCCAGGCGGCGGTGGCTGCGGCGGCACGGGCAGCCTCGGACGCTCCACGGCCAGTGGGACCTCCTTCTCCCTCATTTGCTGCTCCCTCATCTCCTTCTTCATCTTCGGCAACTTGTTCAACTGCTTCCGCTTGTACCCGATCCTCTTCTTCAGCTGCTCTGCGGCCTTCTTCTCCTGCTTGGTGAAGCTCTTCATGGAGTACTGGAGCTTCGTGCCGTTGGTGATCTCCTCGGTCGGCCCAGCTCTGGGCGCTGGCCTCGGCGGAGGCGGCGGCGTGGGCACGCTCAGGAAAGGGCCGTGGGATGCAGCCTCCCTGCCAAGACCAGTCACCAGGTGCAACTCCTCCTGTGAATGCTGCCGCGCCATACGACGGAACGTCCCGTCGACCCTGAGCAGGATAGGACTTGCTCCCAGCCATGAAATAGGAGGCGTAGAGGCTGTCGATGAACAGAGCATCGAGCTGGCGATGAGGATGATCGCGATCAGCCAAGCGTTCCAGCAACTCCGACGAAGCCAGGTTGACAGGTAGCAGAAATCGCATGCAAACCAAGATCAGGAAGTAGATCCGATAAGCCTGCACTTCACATCCGGAGGTCCAGGCCGATCTGCTTGAGAAACTCCAGAGGCCCTCAAGCCAGCACCATTGCGGGTACAGCGGCAGGCCTCGCGCCAAAGCAAAGCGAGTTGGAGGAGGAGGAGGAGGAGGAGGAGGAGGGGGAGGAGGAGGAAGAGGAGGAGGACCCCCTTCCCCCTCCAACTTAAGATGGTGGTCGTGGAAAACAGGCCCATCAATGGCCCTCAGTGGCCTTCCTTCTCTCCTTTCTTTCATTCTCAGGCTTCGAGCCACAGACAATCCACTACGGGAGCCTCGTACGGCAGGTTCGCGTCGTGTCGACCTTGGCGTTGGTTTCTGGCACCGCGGTGATCGTTCGACCTTGAACGATTGGGCGTTTCCGAAACGTCAGCTCTGTCAACATCGACCGATTCTGGGTCTCAGGCGACGTTGCAGGTTGAACGCCAGCGGCGGGGTCGCCGCGGGTCGACGCGACGCGTACCTACCGTAGGCCCACATGGTAGCAAAATCGCTGGAATGTGCAGTGGCGACCCATGCCCCCGGGCGCCTTCTTGCTTGCCTCCAGGGTGCCCTGGGTTTCGATGGTTTTGTATATAGAGAGCGTGACGTCCCCACACCAAAAATCGATGGACGTCCTGGGGTCTCAGGGTTGGGTTTCTTGCGGAAGGTTGGGTATCGGACGACCGCTGGGGTATCGGACGACCGCTGGGGTTTCCTTGGCTGCAAACATTATTCAAATCCTGAGCTTATCACGACATATTTAGATACATGCTTATAGAGCTACATACTTGAGGCGATGGGGTGGAACGGAGAGCCCGCCACCGGCACATCGGTTTCGGTTTCGTGATCGTGTCATGCGTGTGGGCGAGGCGAAGTTGCGCGGGCGAGAGAGAGGAATGAACCTTCCTCTGACTAATTAGGGCGCCGCCAGAGCAAAAGACCGCCCCTGCGAGTTGTCCGGTGGTGGCCTGGGGTGTCCCGCCAGTGTCCCGCCAGTGTCCCGTCGGTGCCAGTGAGATCGATCGTGAAATCGATAGAGAGATCGATGGTGAGATCGATCGTAAGATCGATAGGAACGTCGTGAGATCGATAGTGACATGGAACATGAGATCGATAGTGATATCGATAGTGAGAGAAAGTGAGATCGATCGTGATATCTATAGTGAGATCGATCGTGAAATCAGCAGTGAGGTCGATCTAGATATGTCCCGTCGGTGTTCCGTCGGTGTCCCGTAGTGAGGTCGATAGTGAGATCGATAGTGAGGTCGTTACCGAGATCGATGGTGAGATCGATAGTGAGATGGATAGTGAGACCGAGTGCATCATCGATAGAGAGATCGATTGTGAGATCGATTGTGAGATCGATCGAGTGAGACGTCGGTTCCCCCCCGATCCTCCTCATCGCCCGAAGGGTGGTGTAGGTATCGGAGGTTCGGGCTTGGATTCGGCGTGAAACGGACACCCCCCAGCCGGAGCTCGGCTTCGGTCTCGTATTCACGTCGTGCGTGCGGGCGAGGCGAAGCTGCGCGGGCGGGCGAGAGAAACCGCGGGGCGGGTGTTCGGGGGTGTCCCGCGGGTGTCAGGTGGTGTCCGCTAGGTGTCCCGTGGCGCGCGGTGTCCCGTGGAGCCCCGTGGGGTCCTGTGGGATTGTGTCCCGTGGTGTCCCTTGAGGTCGACTGTGAGATCGATGGTGAGATCGATAGTGAGGTCGACTGTGAGATTGGTAGATCGTGATATCGATCGATAGAGTGCGATCGATAGTGAGATCGACAGGTAGATCAACAGTGAGATCGATATGGCCAAGCAGGTGTTCTGTGGTGCCGTATTGGTATCGGTCGAATCCGATCCGCCCCCACATCGTACACCGAAAGTTGAGCCCCCCACAACTTCCTGATCACCCGAAGGGTGTTCGTATAGTGTATATTTGTATAACAGTTTCTTGCGTCCGTATTTGTTCCCAGAAATATGATTTGCAGCAACAAGGGGGGCATCGGAACCGTATGATGTTTCGTCTCAGCATTGCGAAGGGGGGGGGGCTGAATTTGTCGGCCCCCAGTCTCCGAGCATCATGTGAAGACTGTTCTTAATGCAGTCTCTGGCAGAATAGTTGCATACACAGTCCAGCGCAGGCGGGCAGGGCGGCATTGCAGCAGCGCTTCCCCACCGCCGCAACTATTCTTCCCAGAGGGCCCACAGAGAGCCGTTGATATGATCTCTCGTGGCTTGTGTTGGCGTAGCGGATGGCACTGCACCTTCGGCAATCAGTGATTCCCGAGCCACATCCATGGGTGTGGCTCATGTACGGGCCATTTGTTTCTTATCCGACGCATCGGCCCCTTGGCATCGATCGGTGGGGACAGGTACCACGAATCTAAGAGCTGTGTGCCAGCAGCACGCTGCGAACTGCACGCCAGCGTTGCGTCCAGGGCCGGGCCCACTGCGGGCAGCCCCCCGTGGGCGGGGCCGAGGCGGCAGCTTCTGGGTGCGCCACGGCGCCCTGCGACCCGCGGCGCTGCGTGGCCTGCGCCGCTCGCTGCTGGAGGGCCCCGCCGGCGACCGGCCCGAGGACGCTCCGAGCTGCTCCGTGTTCGTCGTCGTCTTCGCAGTGAGTGAGACGGGACGTGAGGGAAACGGATCCGCAGAACGATTCCCCAAGCAGTGCTTGCGCTGCAGGGGTCCTAGCGGAGGTTGAAGGGTTTGGCGGAAGTTCCCCGCCGCTTTTGATGGCAGGCTGGGTTCCCCCGGCTTCCCGGTTCCCGGGTTCCCGGGTTCCCGGGCAATAGTTCCGGGCCGACCTCGGTGGGTTGGGGGTTCCTGGGCTCCCGGGTTCCCGGCCGGTCTCCTCAGCGAAAACCATCCACAGAGTGTTTTTTTTCTTTGGTGTGTGTTTTGTGTGTGTGTGTGTTTGTGTGTGTGTTTTCCCACGTGTTTTTTTTTGTGTGTGTGTGTGTGTTTATGTGTTGTATGTTTTTTGTGTGTTTTGTGTGTGTATTTCCCAACAGTGTCATGTTGTTTTATTGTTTTGGGCCCTCCCTGGGCCGAACGTGCGGTCTCGCGATTCAAAGCCCATCGCCGATCTATCGGCGATGGCGATGCGTTGCCGATTCCACTTCGATGTTTCCCTTCTCTGAGCGAGTCCCCGCTGACGTCCCCTCCCTCCTCCCTCCTCCCTCCTCCCTCCTCCTTGAGCCGGTCCCCGCTAACGTCCCCTCTCACCATTCGGGGGCGGAAAAGAGGGGGGTGATGACTAGGGGGGGGTGGATCTCATGGCGGGGGCCATGATATTTCCCCAGATTTCATGGGTTGTCCACTTTTTCCCGGCGAACTGGGCTTTTTCCCGGCAAACTGGACTTTTCCCCGGCGCTCCGCCGGGAAAGAGTCCAGTTTGCTTAGTTTCTGTATGGAAGCTTGAAGCATGGATTTCCGAAAATCCCACTATCACCTTAAGGGTCTCCAACTCCCGCTGCGCAGATCCTAGCCGGGAAAGAGTCCAGTGGTTGACTTGTGTCGTGCGGCCTTCGCCGTAGCACTACTCCTCGCAGTGTTTGTAATAGTAATAGTAGTAGTAAGTAGTAGTAGTAGTAGTAGTAGTAGTAGTAGTAGTAGTAGTAGTAGTAGTAGTAGTAGTAGTAGTAGTAGTAGTAGTAGTAGTAGTAGTAGTAGTAGTAGTAGTAGTAGTAGTAGTAGTAGTAGTAGTAGTAGTAGTAGTAGTAGTAGTAGTAGTAGTAGTAGTAGTAGTAGTAGTAGTAGTAGTAGTAGTAGTAGTAGTAGTAGTAGTAGTAGTAGTAGTAGTAGTAGTAGTAGTAGTAGTAGTAGTAGTAGTAGTAGTCGTCGTAGTAGTAATAGTAATAGTAGTTTAGTAGTAGTAGTAGTAGTAGTTGTTGTTCTTGTAGTAGTAGTAGTAGTAGTAGTAGTAGTAGTAGCAGTAGTAGTAGTAGTAGTAGGGTTAGTGGATTAGTACTACTAGGAGTGATTGTATTAAGGATAGTGAGATTACGAATCGTAGTTGTAGTAGTGGAACGATTAGTGGTAGTAAAAGCAGAAGTATTCGTAAGCGATGTCAAAAACCGTCCAGGTAGACGTACTACTGGTTATCCGCCACCGTGCCTCTGGGCACGGAGTGGGCGTTTCCTGAGGTCCTCTGCCTCGTCCCCTGAGCCTGAGTCCTCGCTCCTGAGGAATCATTAAGGGCACCACAGCCCAAATTGCAAAATCTCCCGGGCCTTGTCGCGGTTCCCTTGGGCCTTGTCGCAGCTGCCTTGGGCCTTGTCGAAGCTGGCCGCGTGACTTTTTCGGGCCCACGAAGGCCCCAAGACGTGCCAAGAGGGCCCCAAGAGGCATCCAAGTCGGCAGCAGTAGTCGCACAGTATCGGATGCAGTATCGGGAGCAGCAGTCGCACATCCAATCATAGCAGTCTGAGGTGTACATACATGGACAGCATTGGTAGTACCACTAATAACATCAATACTAGTGGCCTCCAAGACGTCCTCAGCACGGCCCAAAAGGCCTCATCGGCGACCCAGGACGGCCCCAAGAGTGCCCCAAGCTGGCCCAAGGCGGCCCCAAGAGAGCCTCAAGCGGGCCCAAAAGGGCGTCATCATCATCATCATCATCATCATCATCATCATCATCATCATCCTCATCGTCATCGTCATCGTCATCGTCATCGTCATCGTCATCGTCATGTCATCATCATCATCATCATCATCATCATCGTCATCGTCATCGTCATCGTCATCGTCATCGTCATCAACATCATCATCATCATCATCATCACCGTCGTCGTCATCATCGTCATCATCATCATCATCGTCATCATCATCATCATCATCGTAATCATCATCATGGTCTTCCTCATCCCCAGCGGCCCTTCGTCCACCCATATCCTCATACTTATCCAACTGCTCGTCTTCCTTATCCTCACCCTTCTCATCATCAGCATCATCGTCATCATCTGCCTTATTCTCCTGATCCTCCTCCTCGTCCTGCTCCTCCTCATCCCCCCCCTCGTCTCCTCAGGGGGCGGCGCGCGCGCGCGCGAGAGAGCACGTCGGCGGCGACGACCGACGACCGAAGAAGACGAGTGCGAGGACCTGACGACCGACTACGACGAATGACGACGACGAACGACACCCTCCATCATCCACCTTCCCAATCCTCCCTCGTCCTCCCCCTCACTGATCATGGATCCGACTCCTGCTCCCACTGTCCTCCTGAAACGGAAAACGGATGTCCGAAACTCCTTATCCACTCCTTCAAAAGCTGTGCTCCCTATCCACTGTCCCACTGTGCTCCCTATCCACTCCTTCAAAAGCTTTCAATGTTTCTGAAACGGATCGCCGGGAAACAATCCAGTTTGCCGGGAAAAAGTCGAGTTTGCCGGGAAAAAGAGTTTTTCCGATTTCATGGCGCCTCTTCTTGCTTCATTACGTCCCTAGCCCCCCCGCTGGGCCGCGCACATGCCGCCGGCCATGATTTGCACGCCCCCCTCTTGGACGCCCCCCTCTTGGCCGCTCCCGACTAACGTCCCCTCTCACCATGTGTTTCTTCCAATACGTTTCATGCCCCATGCTGCGTCGGGGCGCGTGCCTTGGTCCCTGGACGTGCACCTGGCGAGAGGTCCTCAGAGAGGAGCTGGGATCCGATGCGATGCAGTTCCTGCCGACCGAGCTTTCTGGAGTCGGATGGGGCTCGGACGAGGACGAATCCGTTCCAGAGCCCAGAGCGTTCCGGGACGCTCTCAGAGCGTTCCAGAACGCTCTCAGAAGGCCGTGGCGCCCGAGACACCCTCCGGAATTGCGGGATCTCAGAGATTCCCGATTTCACCCCCTCAACCCAACCCGAAGGTCCTAGTTTGCCCTCCTCTCCTCCCAGAGTGGGGGGGGGGGTCGGGGGACACTGAAAACACACACATGAAGCCCCTACCCAACCCGAAGTTCGGGTCTTCGGGTTGGATTGGGGTGGTGGTCTGGCAGATACAGGGTCCGGCTTGAATAAGGAACGCTCACTTTTCAAACAGGGCTCGGTCATTCTTTTGGTTTGCATGCGTTCCGCTGCCTTTTTTGCGTCGAGCCCCCCTGGTGTTCCTTCGTAGCTCCTTAGGTCAAGCCGAACACTGTAGTCCTGTCCTCGTCCCAGCTTGTCCTCGTCTTGGCCTCTTTTCGAGGAGCTGCTGCGGGGCCTCCTGCACCTCTGGGTGCCCAGCACCGTGCGCGCCGGCGGCGGCCTCCTCGAGGAGGCCCCGCCCGCTCCGAAGGCCCGCCGCTTGGGGCTCTCCGCGCGCTCGTCTCGGCCGGCGGGTCGCGAGGTGCAGCGCAACCGGGGCTTCGCCAGTCGTCAAGCAGTGGCGAAGCGTCCTGGCTCGCCTATAGGCCTACCAAATAATGTTCTAAGAACCTTCTGCGGTTTGCACGAAAGGTTTTTTAATTATTCTGGTGGGGAGTGTCTTGTTTTGGCACAGCGGGTTAATGTTCTAAGAACGTTGTTCTGGTTCTTAGCAGAGTTTTGGGTTCTAAGAACATTTCGTTGTAGGACTACAGGAATGTCGGGACGGTCGGTCCCTGCTCAAAGTCGAGAGGAAGAACACGGCGTCGAAGAGCAGAAGAACCCCTGGGCCCCGAGCCCTCACAACACGACCAGGACGTGGCCTCACGCAGGTCCCAGTCCTTCGCAGTAGGGGTCAGGGATCTGGGCGGTTTTGTGATGCATTTGTAGATGGGGCACCCTAGCCCTAATGTGTTTCAAAGCCGTCTTTTTCCCACTATTCTTTTAACGAGGTGTGGGTAGAAAAACAAGTATGGTGTCTGCCTGGGCCCCCGTCGGACGAGCGGAATTGCGATCGCTGTGGCGCGCGACCCGCCGCTGGTCGCGCGGGTCGCGGGCGTCGTGGAGACGACGACGGCGACGACGACGACGACGGCGCCGTTTGCGCCGACGGTGACGACGACGGCGGCAATTGGCGACGGCGGCGACGACGAACGTCGCGGCGATGGCGGCGACGGTCTGCGCGCAATTTTACTTCAACCGTCCCTCCGCTTACTAAAACTCCCTTAGTATAGCGTCGTTTGTTCGGAATGTACTGAGTGGCGCGCTTTTGCTACAGCCGCTTCTCGCTTTAAAAAAACTGTTGCTCCGCTGTAGTAAAGCCGCTTCCTCGCTTTAGTAAAGCCGTTTCCTTGTTTTAGTAAAGACCACGGTCTGTTTTAGTAAAGTCCTGGAGATGCGGTGGTGATGCGGGGCCAAGGCTTGATCGGGGGGGTTTGGGGCCCTTGTTTTCCTGGCAGTTCACCCCGCGATACGTGTGCTCGAGAAATCCAGGTCGCGTTGCATCGGGTCGCGGTACAGAGAGTTGTAGATGCCCCGCGACAGGAGATTCAGGGCGCGAGCGCAGGACGTGGTTCGGCGATTCGAACGCGCCGCCGCGCTTGTCCTGCAGCAGGGCAAGAACATTGTATTACAAGGTTGGTTCCTTCTAGCCCATGGCTCCTCCGAAGTAATCGTGTGAACTTTCCGCTTCCAAGTGTTTGGCCCTCCTAATGTAGGTCCGCTCCCAACGTACGGGTACTTTAATGTTTACCAACGCTGCGTACACAGGAATGAGTGCTCGGAGCTCCACACGGAAATCTTGGATACGAGCTTTGCGCGTCCCGCGCGCCAGGGAACATGTTTCTGCGCAGATTCGAAGCACCCGCGCGGATCTTCAAACATTTGTAAGGTAGTGCAGCTGCTTTTTGCCACTGTAGCCAGAACGACGGCTGTTTTCCATTGGACCCAGGCAAGTTTACTTGCACGACAGCCCCCTCCCTGTTCCCCACGAAGAACGCTCATACCCGTATCCGCGCCGTCGCGGACTGCATTCCCGGGCTCCGTCCCGCGGATATGCGGTCGCACGGAAAAGACGCCCCGTAAATCCGCGGGGTCGAGGCTTCGGGGGCCCAGCCCGCGACGCCGCGGACGTGGATCTGTGATTCGCCCATGGCTTCCGCCAGGGCGGGCGACATCGAGGATCGGAGGCCTCCTGGGCGTTCGAGGATGCCCGTGCGAGGCTCCGAGAGCTCCGAGGCTCCGAGGCTCCGATGCCTCGAGCCGCGGCGCCCCCCCGCCATGCGTGCGGGCCGCCGTCCCTGTGGGGACTTCCAGGCTTCCTGTAGCAGGATTGGCTTCGGCATCTTTACCCCGAGTTGGATTTGTACCCCCATCCCTCGGAATCGGCCAGCCAGAAGCGATGACATTCTCAGGGATGCGCCCTCAGAAACTGACGGATCCTGAGGATCGGCACCGAGGTAAGGTGATGCCAAACGCAGGGCGAGAGATGCGCTTCCAACTGGTAAATCTTGGAGTTCCTCCCAGGTGTCGTCCCCTGGGGCCCGTTAGCGGGCCTGCAGGGCCACGGCCCGTTAGCGGGCCTGCAGGGCCACGAGAGGCCGTTTCTTTTTAAACCCAGGCAAGTTCACGTGCATGGCTTCCCCCCCCCCCCCACCCCTGCCCCTTCCGGCCCCTTTTTTCGAAAGGAGCGCTCTGCCGAGAAGGCCTGCAATGGGGGTTCCGACTTGCGTGAAGTCCTGTTTTTCTGTCCCGCTTCGCTGCGCCACCCACCCCTCCATGCAAGCACACTTGTCGGAGTCTACGAAAACATTGCCTCGAATGGGGTTAAGCGCAAACGGGGGGCCCAGCCTGAGCGCCAGATCCGGCAGAATGCTGCATCGCCGGATCTTGCTTGAGCTCGGTTTTGGGGCCGGTCGTGGCTTGGAAGGTGACCGCGCGTATCGGCTCATCGGGGATTGGAAAGTTCCAAACCAAATTGCAGCACATGTGTTCGACATTGGCTGAGTTGGAACTGGGTAGCGAGGGACCCCGGGAGGGGCCTGAGGACCGCTGAGCGGATCCTGGCGTGGCGGGAGGGCCGCCGTTTTCTCAACCACCGTCGTTTTCCAATTGGTTTCGGACGTGTTTTCTGGTTAATTGTTTTTTTGTTTGCGCCTGTCGAGAGCCCCATGTAGTCTGATCACGGGGGGAGGAGGATGGCCTCCCACGTACTCCAGCGGGAGGTCTTCTCATGTCGGATAAAGGTTTCCAGTAGTTTTCGGGAGTTCTCTACGTTTTTCCAGCCGCGGAATCCTCTCCAGCAGTTGGGCCTCGCCGAGAGCGTTCCGGGGGGGGGGAGGGGAGGCGAATCGCCCCGAACGGCCGCCGTAGACCCGAGGTATGACCCGAAAGCCATACGATCAGGACCACCAAGGTTGTCCGCGGCGGTTCAGTCGGTTCGGCGGAGTCGAAGTCGATTGCGTTCGGTCGGTTCGGTCTAGTCGGTCGTTGCGTCGTTGTTGCTTCGCTGCGTCCTTCTCGGCTGTTTGTTCTCGATTCGGTTTCGGTTGGTTTCGGTTTCGTTGTCGGTTCGGTCGGTCGGTTTTCGGTTGCGCTGTCGCCGTGGTCGGCCTTGGTTCACGTTCGATCCGGACCTCCAACATGTTGAAAACATCACACGGCTTCGAATCAATGGTTTGTCCCAGGTTTGGGCCTCTGGTGGTTGTTTTCGGTGTCGTGGACCATCCAACAACTTTGAATAAACATGTGCCTCTTCGGGGGCAGGGCCGTGACTTTCAGGGACCCCGCATTGATGAACACATGGACTTCTTACGGAAGAAGACTTTGGACAGCATCACGCAGCCACACGGGGGTCGCGAAGGTCCACCGAATCCGGGGGCAAGACATCGGATCGCTGAGGTAATTTCTTTCTTCTCCGAGCTGAGACTACAGTGGAAACCCATGGCAAGAGACACCCTGCTTGCCTCTAGGGTGCCCTGGGACTCGCGACGTCTCCACACTAAAAATCGATGGACGTCCTGGGATGTCAAGGTTGGGCTTCTTGTGGAAGGGTTCTTGTGGTGGAGCTCCTGCTGTACGGGGCACGTGGGTCTTCTGGAGGACCGGCAGGCGTGGCGCCTCTCTGGCTGCTCGCTGGTTATATCTCCGGTCGTCGATCGCTGGTCGTCGCTATAGTTGTCGCCGACATTGGTCGCTGCCGACGCCGTCGTCGCCGCCGTCGTCGCCTCTCAGAGGAGGAGCAGAAACCGATACTGCTACTCTTCCCTCGTCACTGCGGCTGGACTCGCCTGGACATCCTGGTCAGAATGCACGCCTGGAGAGGTCCATGCAGTTGCGGTATCGGTAGTTGAACGTTTTCCGATTCGTCGTCGTATTTGATTATTTTCGAGCGTTTGTGAAAGTTCTCGGATGCTCGCGAAGGATCTCGGAGGTCGTCGTCATCGCCGTCGTCGCCGTCGCGGCGTCGACGACCGGATGGCCGCTTCCAGCAGAGCGTGTATGCGGTAGCGTTGACGCCCACAGCGTACATAGAAGCAGCAGAGAAATTCTTTACGCTTCGCGTATCCCCACCAGCCCATCTCAAGACAGCAACTCTAGCGAAGCATGCCGACAGTCGTGTTTTTCAGGCGTGTTTCCGCCTGCCCCCGCATATCTCCCCTGTTCCTCCTTCCTCCCGCCTCCTTGTACATCCTCCTTGTGGTGGGAGCGGGAGAAGGACGAGGCGGAGGAGGAGGGAGAGAAAGCGCTCCTCGTGGTTTGAGTCGTTTGGGGTTTCTCGTCCTGGTGTGAGTCGTTCGGGCCCTTCTTCCTGGTGTGAGTCGTTCGGGCTCTTCGTGGTGTGAGTCGTTCGGGCTCTTCGTCCTGGTGTGAGTCGTTCGGGCTTCTCGTGGTGTGAGTTGTTCGGGCCCCTCGTCCTGGTGTGAGTCGTTCGGGCCCCTCCTCCTGCCCGTCCAGAAACGACGCCCAGGCGAGTAGAGGGTCGTCCTGATGAGCTTTTCGGCGTCTTGGGTGGCTCGGGGGGGCCTCTTTGGGCCGTTTGGGATCCTCTTGGGGGCCTCCTGGGGGCCTCTTGGGGCCATCTCGGGGCCTCTTGGTGCCTCCTGGGCGCTTTTTGGGGCCATCTTGGAGGAAATCGATCAAAGAAGAGGGGAGCTTTAATTAGCGCTGCCCCCTCAGAAGGCCAAAATGGGGCCAAAACCTTAGTACAATCAATGATTCTGGCTTGAAAGAAGAGGGGGGCTTTAATTAGCGCTGCCCCCTCAGAAGGCCAAAATGGGGCCAAAACCGTAGTAAAATCAATGATTTTGGCTTCAAAGAAGAGGGGAGCACTTTTCTGCCTCCCCCCGTCGGGGCCAGAATCCTCGTGAGGGGTGTCGTTTTTTTGCCCTCCCAGGGATAGAAAAAAGGACCTTCTGACCTGACCACCCGCGGA